GGTGGGGGCTGAGGTGGAGTGACCTCCCCAGCAGGAAGGAGACGTCGCTGATAAGTCGCTGTCTTTTTAAAATTATTCTAATTTTTTTTTTTAGCTAGTGGTTAGTTTTTATGGACAGTATTTTTTAAGGAAGGGGGGTATGAGGGGGGGGGGGAGACATGCGGGAAAAGAACAAAGGCCGGATTCGAACCCGAGGCAAACGATGACTAAGGCCTCCAAACGTGGGTCTTATGCACTAACCGCTGCGCCACCAAAGCACGCCCCGCTACGTCTAACTTCTAATTAAAATGAGGAATTTCTGCTCCGTTTGTCAATAAAGTTTCTGTTGAATCAATTCCAGACATATGAAGGACTGAGAATCAGTTAAGGAATGCAGGACAAACCCTTCTGAGAGAGGAGATGGAATAAATGGACGTTAGCACAGAGAGCATTAGCGCTGTGAATGTTGCTGTGGTTCAGACTGTTCAGCATCTGTTTGCTGTTTTCTACAGTTCAGCGCTCTGTATCCTGAGATGGTGGACGCCGTGGTGCTGCTGGACTCCTACGGGTTCATACCTACTGATCCGGTATGTTTACCGACCCGCAGCAACCTTCTCCATTTAAAGCTAAACTCAGAACCTCAGAAAATAGGACATGATGTTTGTACGGTTAGGAAACAGAGCAGGAAGCTCCGTGTTTGAAATAATCCCTAATAATCTGTGTGATGATTCAGGATTTAATCCTTATTAAGGAGGCTGGATATGATGGAGGGGAATCAGCTGATATGTTTATTTATTTCCTTTTTTCTCCAATTATTGTGAAGCTTAATAAGCAAATCTTTAGTTTTAGTAAACTGCAGCAGCATCTCTCTTGTTTACCTGCGGCTGCTTTTCTATTGGTTGTAAAGATGCATGAATTCCCGTAAAAAGGAAGGAAATTATGAATTATAGACGAAAACGAAAGATATCCAGACTGATCATCTGAACACGTTTTTAATTAGCTACGAACAAACAGACTTCTGGTGAAGGTTCTTCCTCATTTTGATGTACAGTGGTGTAAAAAAGTGATCACCCACTTAGCTAAATCACTAACTGGCTACGATCAACCATCCATCCATTATCTGGCACGCTTGTCCCAGTTGGGTTGGCGAGGGGTGCTGGTGTCTATCTCCAGCTGTCAGTGGGCGGGGGGCGGGGTCCATCCTGGGCAGGTCGCCGGTCCATCGCTGTGGCTTCAATCAACCGCTTCAAATTAGAATTTTACCAGCAATACCTGCTGATTATTGGGGGACATGCAGGGCTGAGCAATCAGCTGGTAGATTCAACTATTTCAAAAAGGGAAATATTCATGCAAAATGTTGATTAAAGGTCTATATCATGCAAATAATTATCTGAGCTTTTAATTCTGATATTTCCTTCCTGCCTAAAGCAGCACCTGGAACAACAGGCCCACAGCAGCAAAGGGCCGTCACCTCTGCTCAGTGATGGCAGTGTGGTGATGTGGGCCTGCTGTGCTGCTTTACCATGAAGTCAGTTTGGTGAACAGCAGGAAAATCAAGTAAAGTACCAAAGCTTCAGAGGGAAAAAAGGTTTTGAGTTGGCCTAGTCAAAGTCCAGATCTGATCCAGATGTTTTGGTAGAACCTTAAAAGGTTTTCATATCAGCAATACATCAATCAACTGCGCTTAAAGAGTCCCCCCCCCTCAGCTGGAAATTATTCTGGATTATTTTAAAACAGCGTTTGGTTATTCTCTGTTTGATTGTTGATCTGATATCTGACACCAAGAAAAGGATAAATATTTGTTTTTAAGGATCATTTCCCTGAACTTTCAGAAAGAAATGCCTGGAATACTACGGCAGGGGATGGATGAGATGATCCAGTTTGAAAAGAAGATGGAGGGCATGAAGGGGCGAGTTTACACCTATGAAAAGGCTGTTGAAAGGTAAAACCCGCCTGTTTACTCTGTAACTGGATTCTTTCTAACCGTCATGGAGGTTCTTCCTGTGTGTCACCATCCAGGCTTTTGGCTGCTAACCCAAGTCTGGGTGAAGCGTCTGCAAAGATCCTCTTAGAGCGAGGTCTGGTCCAGGTGGACGGAGGTAAATCAGTGCTTCATATTCCCACCTTCTTCTTCTCTTTGACTATTTGAGCTGATGGACGGAGTACATTTCTGCACTGTGATATCAATAAAGTCAATCAATCAATCAATCAATCAATCAATCAATTAATAAAGTCAATCAATCAATCAATCTTCCCCCTTAGAGTCTCTTTTGCTTTTTCTGCTCCATTCCTGATGGATCTTTCTGTCTGTTGCAGGAGTGACGTTCTCCAGAGACTTTCGCATCAACCTGG